TGGCGTTCACATCTGCTTTTGTAAACTTCCACGGCATCCAATCCTGCACAGGATGTGGATTGCTTTGGCAACGGGATATAAACGCTTCAAAAAATATTTTCAAGATCGCCAATGGCATCCTTCGTGTATGTGGCAGACCTCAAGCATTTTGTCACCGTATCGAACACGGTTCTCCTTCTGGAGTTTAGACATTTACTCCTAGTATTAGAAACTAGAAACAGAGACTTTTGTGTGCTTTTTATAGATAGCTTTTATTTTTATTAGTAAATTGCCTTTGATAATTATAGGATAATACATACTTAAACATTGATAAATTAATGTATATAATTTTATATCAGTTAACAGCAGTAAAAACTGATGGAGAGAAAAAGGATGGAAAAGCTTATATTCTTATTAAGTAGTCTTTTGCTACTGTCATTTGGAAGCACCAAAATTTACTCGTACTACGCTTTTTCTAATTTTTTGCATTTCCAAACCACCATGTATAGTGTATTTAGCTTCATGAGAGCCTTTCATCATCGTGAGCTTAAAGACTATACATACGGCAATCGAAAACAAACTTTGGATAACATAACCAATGTAATGACTGGTAAAACAATACATCATGAGCCTTTCAAACTATGCCATGCGAGTTTAAAAAAAGAAAGATGTAGGTTGAAGCAACAGAATCGCAGGACCGCTGGATTTCAGCCCATTTCTTCCACAAACAGGCATGCTTTTGCTTATGGTGATGCTAGCTTACCATATTCAAAGAAGTACTTCACGCCAAGCCCTTCCAAGATAACTTTAGATAGAATACAAGTTACGGTTATAAAAAACAGATCATACTAAGCATACAGTAACAGAAACTGCGCCGCCATCTTTCGAAGAAAGCTGTTGTTATCCTAGTTGATGAGAACAAAATTTGTAGCCATTGTCAAACAGAGCTAGACTCTATACCAGTACTAGAACGCGGTTATAATTGTGTTGATTTTACGTTAATAATATATAACCTTTTGTTTTTACTTTATGTTTTTTTGAGTATTTACCGTCTTATATGGTTTTGTTCTAGAAAAAAGAAGAAACGACTGCCTCATAAAAAGAATGCAAGCAGAGAATGCCTTGGTGAAGTAAATGGCCATGAACAAGCCTTATGTCAGTTCAGCGCGTGCCAAACTAAAACCTAAACAGGTAACAATATAATAGCTCATTCATACTTCTTTTATGCGTCTATAACGAACATGTCACTAAATATATAAATGGCCTTTACACCCATCATCTACCCGTTAAAACTTTGTAGGCAGTGCCTAGCTGGTAATGGTGGTGGTAATTTGGTAAGCCTTTTTTAAAACATACTCGCCGTATGTCACTATTATTAGTTTTTGCTCAAATGTTTGGAATAGAGATGTGAATACTGCGTTGAATATTCGGTCAATATTGGTCAGATATGTACAGACTGGCTACAACATCAACACAAGACCTACTGCTTTGGGTGCTTGAACCAACACTATAATGCCATCCGTTTGGCCTCGGCACTCGCAAGTATTTTTTTTTCTGGTCCCAAAAAAGACCTAACTAATGTCATCATTATCCTATCCAATCAAAAAATTCTGGGGGTGATTTAAGTGAGTGCTTAAATGAAATCGCAGTTTTTAAACTTTTTCTCTTTTTCTTCACAGCAAAAAAAAAGCCTTCCCCCATTGTGTATAATTTTTTTCCTTCTTCTTCTTTCTTTTAAGCGTTCATTCCGTTAAAAAAGAAAAAAGAACAAGAAAAAGCGTTTAATTCGACAAGAAGAATTAAATAATAAAAAAGCGAAAAGCCCATAATTACACAAGTAGAGAGAGATTTGCTTGCACGAAGATCTTCTTCACCTCTGCAATCATCTATTCATAGACGCCAATGGGCACGACTAAAAGTCGTAAATCTAGGCGGAATAACTCAAGACCAGCTGCCTTCACCTTTTTATCTAATATCTCACTCGGAAATGAAAGTGAAAAACCACCTGATGAGCCGTCTATACGAAAGTTATCGTTTTATGCCAACAATACTACACCAACAACAGAAGATATTCATTATGTTAATGAAACTTCTTTTGGAGGTAAACTAAAAGAACTTGATTGAAACGAAAAAACTCACCCCTTATGGTTCTAGCTGCTTCTTTGCATTCAACAGATAGTAGTTTTTCAGGAGAAGATGAAAGCGCCTTACCTTCTGATACTCAAGACCGAACTTATACAGCCGTTACTCAACCCATTATGACACCTAAAGGAAAACAGCAGCCTAAGCGCTCACCTTCGGATCATAGCAGTAATCTAACTTTAGACAGTACCAGCAGTGGTGAGATTCATCACCATAAACTGACGAGAGAGGACAGCGAAAGACCGATTGCTTCTGAAAAAATAAAGAAAAAGACCAACAAAGATGTAAGGCTGACGGGTAATGCTGTGTACCATGGAGACTTACCGTATTCTGTAGCACACAGCAGGAAGCATGTCATTTATGTCTGTATTCCGTTATTATACGGATAAGCTTCGTCAATCGACAAGTAAAAAGAAGACCGAGATGTCTGCCAACAAGGGCTATGTGTAAGTTATTATGAGCTCAAGTAGACAACATATACTTACATGTTATCTATAGCCAACAACAGTTGGAAAGTTATGATTCTTACCGACATCGAAAAGCTCAATCTTATGCTCACTTCCTTACTCCAGCTGGTTCTTTACTGTAAGTTGTAGCCATAAAAGACATGAGTTATTCACGTAATTCTTAGTGAGGAAGACAGTGTGAATAACGAGACAGCATATGACCCATTCTTCCTTGATGATGATAGCTATGGACAATACGGCCTTGATCCAGGCTCTTTGGTATAGTATCATTAGAAGTTTTAGTGAAAACTTTAATTTATGAGTTAACACATAGTCTATTTATTTTTTAATAGGGATCTTTGGCTAACGGTATGAGACCATCAGATATGAAGAGAGAAATGAACGAACAGTTTAGACTAAATCATCCAGAGATACCTGTTGAGCTTACACTAAGTAAGATTAGGGCCATTAAACTTCATTTATTAGAAATTGGAAAACAACTGGACTTGGAAATATCTAGTGTGGCACATGCTTATGTTTACTTTGAAAAGCTTGTTATCAAGGTATTTCTAGACACACACTAATATATGTATATAGTACTCATTCATGATAATAGAATGTGGTGACGAAAAAGAACCGTAAATTGATTGCCGCTTGTTGTTTATTTTTAGCAACCAAGGTGAATGAAGCAAAAGGCACATGGTTCAAGCCATTGTTAGAAGCTATGGATGATGAACTGAATGTTGACTCAAAAGAAATTCACGAGCATGAATTCGCCGTATTTGCAGATCTTGAGTTTAATCTATACGTGCCTAAAAGAGAATTTATGCCGCACTTTGAGAGAATATTTAGTCATTTGGAACATAAAAGCATACAAGAGTACCTTGGCAATTCGAACTTCTATAACGGTTGTCAAGTTTATTAAATAAATGATATTTTATTTTATAACAAGTGGAATGGTATTATTGTCTCCTGTCGTTTGACTGTGTAAACTAATGAATGTGTTCATCTCTCTTCTCGGTAAAGCAGTCCTTGTGAATAGATACCTGATTTTCTTGAGAAACCGTAACACAGACTTTGGTTGCTGTTCTCTTTCGATTGGATAAGTTGCAGCTGCAGCAGGAGTTGTTGTTGTATTATTGTCATGACTACTGCTACTACTCGTGCTCGTCGTCAGGCTCTTGTTATCTTGTAGTTTTTCCTCTTTTGCAGATATCCAATGTTCTTTAGTTGTATCTGCACTTGGTATATCTTGCATCTCCTCTTCTTCTTCTGGCATATGTGCTGGATCCGACTTTGAACTTAGCAAGGCCACGCCATAGATCAATACAGCGATACCTACAAAGACAAGGATAATGGCCCAAGGAGGATAGTTACCGACCTCATCCAGATAGATGATAGTATTCACCAACCCCAAGGCAGTATAGGTACCATAAAACACAGGAACGACCACGACCGAAGAGTAAAGTTTGAGAGCTGTGTTCAGGCAATAGACCTATATGCATAAATTAGATTCCTTTCAGTGCATTTCGTACACACATGCTTCCCCCCTGACCTGCATGACAGCTGTGATAATAAGTGCCAATATAATAAAGCGACTTGTATTATCATTAAATTGATTGACTTGAGATTGAAGTGAGAGAGTGAACAGCTTGACTCTAAAGATATAATTAGAATGAAACGGCATAATCAGCATATACTGTTTCCTGCTACCCGCTTTTTGCTAATAATAGAGTTTCGCTTGCTAATAATCCACCTTCGACGCTAAACATCAAGCCGACGATGTGCTTCATTTTTCTCTGATTCATGTTTGCAAACAAATGCAGTCTTCTTGACGTATCTGCAATTTCCCAATTTGACCAAATCGAAAAAAATAGACCGCCAAAGGTGGTGATATTTAATACACTGAAGTAAATGATAAATATGGGTCGAACAAATAAAATTTTAAGGCTATCTAACGAAATGGATTCTTCGGCTTTTTTATATTGTATAAATAAATATCCCTTAAAGACATATGTAACTTACGGTCTTCTCCATTGTACATGCCTCCAAAGACAACGATCCATATAACAGATGCTACAACTACAAACGTACCAAGAACATCCTTCCGTGTGATGTTGGTACCAACAAGTATTTTGGCAAATATAAAGTTGAATATGAGTGCAACACTACCAAGAGGTGCAACCCACTGAGTTTTTAGATAGTCTAGACGTAATCATCGTCAGTTCTTCTCACTTTTTTTTTGGATTTTTTTTTTCTTCTCTTTACTAAGTGCAATAGTACTGCCTATCAATTGACTCGCAATATAGGTGTATAGACCAATATGCCATAGTGGTCTACTACAGTCTCCACGTTGCTTTTCTCTACTTGCTTCTTTAACATGATCCAGTTTTAATATATTTAATCCAAGTGCATCCATAAATGATGCGCCTTATAAACTTGTTAGTCATTATATATAAAACATTCTTCACTACTCTACCTAAAGAGACAAATACACCAATAGCAAACCGTATAACATTGTCTTCTGAGCCCATATTGAGTGTATATGTATATGTATATATATTTATTTAATCCTTTTTTTATTGTATATATATGGTATACAGCATATATATGTATATAGTTGACTATGTATGTGTATATATATATATATATTTGTATATACAAGGTTTATTATCTTTATATGTACAAAAGAAAAGAAAAAGAGAAAGAGAAAGAGAGAAAAATCAAGAAATAAAGAAGGAAAGAATATAAAAAGGGGGAAAATCATTATAGACGCACACATACAAATGTATATTTATATTTATGCATGATCGACTTTTGATAATTCTTTAGAAAGCACTAAATTTAGTGCATTATTAAAAAAAATTGAATAGGAAAAGAAAGAAAACAAGGGGAAGGGGAACTGGTAGAAAGCATCAAGAAGGGGAATAAAGAGAACAAAGTGAACAAAGAGTCCAAAGAGAGAGTGTGTGGAAGAGAATGTATCGATTACATTAATCTGTGTTTATAAACATGTCAAAGAGATCAAGAGCACATATAAAAAGGCACTATAAATGATGATTTGAACACATCAACCTGTGAGATGCACGCTTGTTAGGATGTCACCTTCTATGGCAATAGAGTAACACGAATTGTTTCCCTTTTCAGAGGCAATCTCGGAAAACAAAGTTGTATGATTGGCTAGAAATAACCTATATGCCCACAAAAGAAGGTGCATGCTATGGATGATCTTGTTTGAGCTATTTTAATACATAAAGTGAAAATACGTAACAAATATTCAAGAGGCTTTCAAATTTCCTTTAAAGGCTTCCACAACGTTGCATTTTATCTTTAAGGTCGAGGTATTTTTTTAGAGCAAAAAATGTTACAAAATATGAAAAAAAAAGCAAAAGAGGGGTCAAAAGGGGTCCCCTCCTCTCTCCCCTCCCCTTGCTCATGCTAATAAGAAAAACAACTTTTAAAGTGATTGCTGTGTTGACACTTGATAAATATGAATGGCAAACTATTGTGGTTAGGCTATGGCACAAAAGGTATCTCTCGGTCCTTATAACAATGGTAATGGTGACCTGGATAATGCTTTTAGTATAAAGGGAGTATTAGCTAGTGCTACTAATATTATCATTTGGTAAGAGTATAAAATAGACTATATGTATAATGTTTGCTGTTTAGCAGCAATGCAAGACAAGGCCGGTGCTTTCTCGAATACTGACATGCAAGGCTTCAACAAACCTGCATAATTAAACCAGTGTCTATTATAGCTTAGACAAAGAAGAACAGTACAAATCTCATTTAATGAAAGGACAATCTTCAATCCGTCCAAAGGAAGCACATTAAGTTCAATGAGTTGCTTACACTTTATTCACAAAGTATTTGCACGCTGATAAAAAAAATGATAATTTCAGACAGCAAAATGAAACAACAAAAACAGCCTTTTCAGTTACGTGTTAGTTATAAGTGCTGACCACATTTGTTTTATGTATCTCTCAAAAAGACAGAATTGATTGCCTTTTTAATAATAAAGAAAGGATTGGTAGTCAATTAAAGTGTAATTGTTATTGATTTATTATTATTATTACTACTACTACTATTAATATTATTATAAATATGCTACTATTATTATTAAAGCTGTTTAAGGTTATATTCTTTGATCACTCGTATCATATATAGTCAAATCATCCACTTCTTCATCTTCATCAAGAACAGGTGGACCTACTTGCATATTAGTAACATTGGCCGTATAATTACATATACACTTACCATCCATATTCTTTTCTAAATCTACAATCGCATTGGGTGCTCCATCCATATAATTTACACTATTACGATTGCTACGTCCATGCTCTTCTCTCACTAGACGAAGTGTTGTCTTCCGACTTAGAGCAGGCGCAGGCTTCTTAGCTTCCTCCTCTTCGTCTTCAATCATTCTTGGTGCTGCATCACCATTCTCAGTTGTCCAAAAGATGTATTCAAATTCGCTCATGAATAGGTTGAAAATGGTAGGCGGGATACCAAGTGTGGGTGAAAATACAATACTCACATTGCGCATTGTCATCTTGTTTACATCAGAATGCTGCACCACTCGTATCAAGTGCGCTGTAAGTGCTCGAAGAAGGGTGTAGTTGGATAGTGGAAGAAGAGAGACTAGACGACCCAGTTCATTGACTCGGTCTTTGCGGTCCAGTAAATCTATGTAGATAACGTGTTAATGTTATGTTGGTTCGTATTATTTTATTGTCTTACCGATGACATGTAAGAATTCTGTTCGATGCTCTCTTGTCAATACACTCGTTGGAAGTTCACGTAACCACATCTTTAGTAAACCTGCGACAACATGTACATCATATTCATTCTTTGAAGCCAGTAAGTTAACATCACCTTCTTGGTTAAATCTCTCCTTGAGAGCCTTCATAGTGGCGTTACTACCGCTTAAACGATAAAGGCCTTCTTCCATAACAGCATTCATAGCATCCAAATACTCGATACAGCGGTATACAATAGCAGGCAGCTCATAACCCTCATTGATTCTTGATATACGTACAGCTACATCCAAAGGCACACCAAATACCTGCTTGGCAGACTTTGCTTCCTCTTGTTGCTTAGATTTTTGTCGTTCGGCTTGTTCATGTGACGAGCGTGATAAGAAGCCACGGAAGCCAGATGAGGAATTGCTAGTGGAAGAACTGTTGCTCTGACTAAGCTTCATGTCGGATTCTCCGTTGTTGGTTGTCGTAGATGAAGAGGATCGTAACAGTTGTTGTTGATCAGCACTGCTATTACTGTTACTACTAAACATCTTTTTGCCCCAAAACGTCATTCGATGAGCCTTGTTTCGTGCTTTCTTTTCATTATCCACATCATCTGATGCAACTGTTGTAATGATCGTTGGGGAAGCAGCTCTCTGAGGACGCGAGGAATGGTGTTCCTGCTTCTTTCCTTCCGTTATCAGGTTACCCATTGAACTGCGACGAACAATTGGAGGTCGAGGTGCATGTAGAGTTCTACTATGATCAAGACTAGGCCTGGGCATGTCTGTCATACTCCCCCACGTTGTCGGAAGGGAGTCGGAACTCTCACTGGAAATAGAAGGCGTAGGTTGATTAGGGATATTCAATCCACCATTTTCCTCTGGATGAACATTGACAGCAGGAACAACTGCGTTGAACTTCTCCATGTCTGCTGCATTATCCAACTTGACTTGGCTCATCGGTTGAGCCGAGACTGTTCTGATCTCTCCTTTTGATAGCTTTCTAGGCTTCTCTGAAGATTTTTTCTTGTGTGGTTTGAAATTATCCTCGAGTTGTATGTTTTGTGTCAACGCCTGGACCCATTCGTCACGGTCATCATCCGAGTTGGCGCAGAGGATGTGTCGGACAAAATGAGAGGAACCTGTTTTTCTTTGCTCGACAATTAAAAATGCGTGTCGATAGATGTTGTTGTATTCTTCTGCTGCTGGTGTGGTCCCTGGCATCTGACGGCCGATTTGAGCATTTGTCAATCGAATCGAACCTAACTGATTTCCTTCTTTCTGTAGACAACAGGGTTAGATTAAGGGAGAAACGATAAAAAGGACAACTTACAGATTCATAATATTCAAGTACGTTATCATTCAATACAAAATAACGAGTCTTCCAGCCGCCAAAGTTCTTGCCTCTCTTGGTTAGATATCCTTCTTTGTGTCCTGGTATTTGATGCTTTACGGTATCTACAATATTAGTGCTTAAAAATTCGCACAGATGTGAGGTATTTTCTAGAGGTAAGGCCACAATATGCTGTAAATATTGCTCCAAAGCAATCTATATTCAACATAGTGAATGAGTTTCTGGCTACTGAGGCTTTGGTTGTATTTTTTTTTTCCTTACCTTTCGTTGATCTACTTTACTGGGCGCATTATTTGAAAATAACGCCTTATCGGGTAACTTGCCTATTCTTGCTGTTGCTGATCGATTGCTACGCTGCGCCTTTAGCTTGGAATCAAGCGTTAAAAAGTCAGAGTATAGTTTTTCAACTCTCCATTTTTCTTCAAATTCGTCTTGGTGTCCAAGTGATCCAATCGCAATGATAAATGAAATCACTTCCTTGCCTTTATCATTTGGCTTGATATTGGACCCCACAAGCTTGATATGAATATTGGCCATATTTCTCATAAATGAGGTGTTGTCCTGTTTAGGTTCATCATCTGGTTTTTCGTAGGTGGGCAAGTTGGGAGTTGACATGTTTTTCATTGACTGTTGGATATCACTATTAGCACGATGTAGCACTGCACTCTCACGTTTCGAACGAGTTGTTCGAATAGAAGGAGTAGCAGGAGGAGGAGAGGCTGCTCTCATGGTTGGATCATGTTCCAGGGCAGCTCGAGCAGGTGGCATCATAGATTCTCTCTGGTGCTGACGTCTGTCCAGGGACGAAGAGGACTTGCTGGGTGTAGGAACAATGATCTTATTGTTGCTGGGCAGAGGTGCACTGTCCTTACGGATAACCTGTGTTGGTGAATGAGGACCAGGAGCAGGCGAGCCAGGTGAAGATCGACCATGTATGATGTCTTCAGGCTCATTCTGCAAGAAAACGGCATCGACTCGTTCCTTTAGCGGTCGATAAGGCGACCGTGGCGGTGGCATCGGGCTCAAGGGAGGCAATTCAACAGGTGATGTTTCACTTGGTGTTGCAACAGAGGCATCGTCGGCCTCAGCAATCTCCTTTAATGTCTGAGGTGAAATGAGTAAAGAGGTTACTCGCTGCTTACGAATCATTTCTTTTTCAAGCGAGTTGACTTTATCCAAAAGACCATCACGATCAGCTGAAAGTCGAGCATTCTCTTTTTGAAGGTTTTGGATCATGACTCTCTGCTTTTCAATGATCTTCCAAAGCTGATCGTTTTGTGATCGTAAGTGGCTAACTTCATCTTGGCCGTATGTTAAAGACATGTGTATTTAAAAAAGAGTGGAAGGGGGTAGTTAATAAAAGAAGAGAAAAAGGGTATAAAATAAAAATGAATACTAAATTTTTGTTATAAAGCAAAAAGTAAAGAAAAGAGGAAGGGGGTAAGAGAGAAAGACAGTGAAGAAAGAAAGAAAGAGAGAGAAAGAGAGGGAGAAAGGGGAGGTTTATTTAGGGGAAAGAAACGATTCAATATAGTAGGCGGGCTGTTTGGTTATAAAAAGGAGGTTTTCTAATGATAGATACAGGTGAAAGGAGCCGTTTGTTTCTTGCTTATAAATGTAGTACAAACGACAAAGATCAATGTCTTACAAAACCGGGCTTTTTTACCTTCGAAGGAAAATCTTATAAATCGACCTTATTGCCTTTATCATTTTATTTTATGCCAATCTATTTGTTGCTTGGTTACTATCATTGGCCTCTACTGCAAAAAGAACAATAAAGAGTACTTTACTCTATCTCCTGAACTCAAGGGTTTCATTTGATCTTGTGTAATATTAATATTTAAATATTGACAATATTACCATAGCAGCAACATTTCCGTTGTACTTTTGAGCCCAGCTTTTTGTTTAGACAAACGCGGAATGGAATCAAGTTGATACCTGTTTGATGCTACTTTATGCTGCACACATGAGTATCATCCATGCTACATAGCATTAACATGGTGTCACAATCACAAAAAAAAATAAAGGAAGCAGGATAACACAAATCTATAACTTTTTACAAATAATAGAGATCATCTGCCCTTATATTGTCACATATATGCTATCACAAAAGTGCTATGAGTTAATTGAACGATCGCATCTGATGCAGGATGGCTAAAAAGAAAGGCACCACTTTTCATCTCAATCAAGTCAATAGATGACAGCCTTTTACAGACAAAGAAAAAAGACAATTAGGCACGGTAGTGAACGAGTGAAGGTATAGCTTATCTTGTTACAGGGGAAGAAAGAGGAGTGCAGCTACTTTGTCAACCAAGACATCAGCGGCTACAACGAAGTCTTTCTGTAGCCAGAGACGAGATCAATACAGAGCAAAGATCGGCAGAATGAATGGCCATGTAGTCAAGGTCGGCACATGATTCGACGAGATTATCCGAAGACACAGACTTAAAAGTTCTTTACTAGTGGTTGGACAAAAGGAGGACAAACTTTACAGGTCGCATATTTAAAGAGCTTGAACCATTAGGAGTGGTTGCTCGATGGCTGTATATGCCGAACTAGGTAGGTTAATGAGCGTAGTAAGCAGTGAGATTAGTAAAATATGAATATGTCCCCTTAATTGTAAGCGAATTGAACGCGTAAAGTATCATTTTGATTGGAGAACAAAGCAAGCCTTTGAAAATTGTATGTATATGGTTATTTTGAACACCTCCGCGCAATAGGAAATTTTAGTCCGAAATTAAAGCCTTCTACTAAAAAGCTAAAGGTTTCTACATAAGTCTACACAAAATTAAACATTTCTATGCAAATCTACACCTTTCTACACAAGACTCAAAGAAGTGGCTGGCCTTAGTTTTTATGCCATAAAATAAAGAGACAAAGTATAATATAGTCACACATTATTTGGTTTCGTACCAAAATGTAATATGCGAAACTTAATATATATACATCTCTTATTAAAGTTGGAACGTCCGTTGGGAGAAAAAGAAAACAAAGCTCAGGTGTGAAGCAAGAAAAGCAAAAAACCAAAAGACAAAAAACGGCAAAATGTTCTTCATCAGTTATTTGCACTAGTTATAAATAAACTGGCCACAAATCAGCACGCTCTCCAGATTGCCCTAATCATATGTTGTCAGAAAACGAGGTTTTTAGTCGAAATTTGGGACAACAATTTAAAACATCCACAAGAAAGCTACCGTTTGATCAATGTGTTCACAGTTTCTACCAGAGTGTCTTGAAGTCTAGGGCCGTCTCTGCATGTAAAGACATGCGTTAAGTAGTTTTCAGAGCTCAGCTTTTTATGAACCAGTACACACTGAACTTAAAAATCCATTCGAATCATATCTTTAAACAAAATTTTTGGTATTCAATATGTCAATTAGTTATGGATAAGTGGGTGACAGACAGTGCTGCGCTTCCAGAAGGCTTACTTGAAAGCTGAAATATTGTTTAGACAAAGTCATAGAAGTATCATATATACCAAAAACTTGCGAGTGGAGTTAGCCAATGCCTTTCAGAGGCATGTGTACAACTAGCAACCCCATATACAAACTGCATAGTCGAGAAATTTGAAGCAAGATTGCTTAAATACCTTTCGTATCTTATTCAAAACAATTTCGTGGTAAGCTCCATTTTTTATGTGAAATATTCTACTAGAATATGTAAATAATTCATGATATATAGTCAATGGCGTACCAAGGCGTGAAGAAAATAGATTATGACTATTGTTATCATTCTGTTTGCAAAGGAGAGCTCAAATAGCCGCAAGATGCTACTTTCACTCAGGAAATAAAAACAGCAGTTGATGAGGCTTGCCTGTCATTGCAGCAGCTTATAACCACACAAGTAGCACTAAAGGAATTGTCTACGTCTCTAAGTGATTTTTTGCCTTGTATCTTGTATATACCATTGACATATGAAGCAGAACATAAAGGGCACCATGCTTATGATGTTAGAAGACTGCCTCTGCCTAGGCTTTTTTCTGTGTTACCAAATCCATCGTTGCGCTGGCAATTCATCAATATCAGTGCAAATTCTTTGCCTGCCTTTGTTAAAGAAACTCTACCAAAGGGATATAGCGATCAACTACGAATGTTCTATAGAGTTTTTAATCTCAAAAAATTAAGAATCAATAGGTAAAAACTTGTCTGTAGATTGCTTACTTGTACAATACTTAGTAACTTTCTTTGTTTGTTTGAATAGCGTTGACGACTTGCTTCCGAATCAGAACAACAAAATTACGTTTGAAAATACTATCAAGTCTGATGGGTTTTCAGTTTATTTTGTATTCAGCAAAAGAACAACAAAAGATGCCTCTTTAACAGCAAACACTGATTTAAAGCTTGGAGATTTTGACTTGGAAGAAGTAAAGAAAACTTACTAGCCCATGTTTCTAGATCCTGGGAGAAAAGGCGCGTTCACTGCTGCAATTGGTTTAGATACAACCAACCATCAAATAAGACGCTGCTCAACAGCAGAGTATTATCACATGGCCGGATCGACAAAGCACTAAATTTTTGTATAGTACGAACACTAAATACATATTCCTTTATTTATTATACAAAATGATCTATTATACAGACACTTTAGTAGTTGTACCAACCAGTGGAGCAAACCCTGTTTGAGCCTTTCCAATATCAAATACAAGGTACATATTGTGTAAAAATGTTTGACCAATCAGCAAGAAATGCAAATCTTTGTTGGCTCGAATACCCCAGGCACACTTGGTTGCTCTTTTACCATCTAGAGAGTCTAGAGGAATAATCATTTCGGAGGCTGGCATATCAAGGATGAGAGGCGAAGAATCTTTGGCTGTTTCGTCAAGAGAATGAGATAATCCGAGCTGAATTCGTTTAGTGGTGTTGAGATAGCTACAGTCAATGTCCCATAAAGGACTATCAGGTACTACTGCTGTGAAATTGTTTGAGCCTGTGAGGCCTGCAAAGATGGCTTGTGCATATTCAAGAGGTAATTCAGTGAATGGTGCACCAGTGTCAAAGATAGCAAGAGGGTAACTTGTGTCATTTAACAAGCTTGTATGGACTTGCTCTGTTCCGTTATCAGCAACAGCAAGGAACTGGCCGTAGGATTGCCAGTGGGTGTATCCAAGAGTGCTATTAAAAGGGACTACAGGAACATATTGGATATCACCTGTGTGCTTTGTAGAATCAATTGCTCCAAGAACCATTTCGCCTTTATCGCCAGGTACGGCAAAGCCTGGACCATAGGCCCAAGAGAAGATAGGTTCAGGAATTAGTCTTTGTTCAGCCATGTTGGTTACAAGAGGGTTGTATGTTTGCTTACGGCTATTAGTTCCGTTAGGGAAGCCAAGTCCAAGTATACCAGAGATATCCGGCTCATCAGGCATCAGCGCATTAAGCATGTTGGCAGAGATGTTATGCATGAGAGCAAATTTCTGATGTTCAACAGTGATATTGCCAAATGATACTGTTTCATAGGCATAGCTTCCATTTGCGTAATTGTAAGTGGGAGGAGTGCCATATTTAAGAACACTGGCATCATTCTCTATAGATACATAGCTTGAAGACAAACTTTCATTAAATCCGTGAGTTGGACAACTACTTGATTTACAGCTTGCCGAAGTAACCCAGAGATCTGCACTAATATAAATCAGTTAGCTTTTATAAAGATGAAATGACATGTGTGTACCTTCCGGTGTCTAATGTAACAACGAATTTCTGTGGAGGTGTTCCGATCGATATTTCAGAATAATAATAGGCAGAGTCAGTAATAGTTTCGATAATCGAAACATCGCGTTTTGCCAATCTTGATCCTTTTCTAAAGATAGGTATTTTTATTGCAGAAGGGCTTGGAAGAACAAGGGCTGTTACAGCAGTTGTAGATGCAGTAATGGCGATTGCCCAAAATAGAGTGTTTTGAAGATGCATAATGCTTTACAATATTTCTTAATGAAATCAAGCAAAAATATATGTAGCTTTTATATTGATTGATATAAGCTATTTAAGCCTTTGCTTTTGGAATAAGGTGGCTCAAGCTCTCATGTGCGCACTTCGCCACAATTTTATAAATAATGGGGCTTATCGCTGACATTGTCTGCTTTCGAACAATTGACTGCGCTTTGGCTTTAGGTTCGGCCATTAATCCAGAAAAAGAAATTGTATGTCGTACCTGAAATAACCGTGCCGTTGGTGAAAGGGATAGTCAAGAATGTGATTTACAACCGTCCTTGGTATCATTAATAGTATTAATAGGCCCTCATAATTATCTCACTCATATAATAAAAAGTGAACTGTAATAAGTACGCCAACGTAGATACATATAAAAAAAAAGAGGCTTATTATTATAAGTATGCCCAAACACTTCTATCTGGTCGCTATCGTCGACCTCTTTCTAATTGTAGTACATGTTAATTATGCTAATGACATACTGAATCGAGATCCTATTCCTTACTTTGATTTTACTGGCTTCTGTTTCTTCTGACTCTCCATATGAAATTATGACACCTGTATTTTATACAGCGTCTATTTAGATAAGGCAACAGCAAAGATTTGAGCATAGCAATTAATAAATTACTATAAAAAAGAGGAGCAAAGAAATTTAATTGTTCTTTCTTCATAGCTTTGTAAGGAAGAAGTAAGGCTCTGTATTAAAACTGATCTCTCAGGCAATACAAGAGATGTTCTGAAGGAATCATCGCCATTACAGCTCAAAGATACTAAAAGATACGTCAGTAAATGCTTCATGAGGTGTGGACAACAAAAGATTTAAGAGGTAGTACTAATGACGTCTTGGTAACCCAGTAACAATTGTGTCATAGGCACGACTGACGGTGAAACATACGCGACAAATTAGTTAAACAGGTCAAGAGTGGATTGATTGTGATGGGTATAGTAATAGTGATCTCGTATGAAGCCAAGCTAGTAAAGGATAAATATAACGTGTATCAAAAAATCCTCTGTAAAGAACACTCTTCAGGAACAGCTGTCAATCCATCGCTTCTAACCGAACTGCAAGACCCAAAGAAGTCTGGCAAATTAGATACATATTACCAAGATGAAACATAAAGAACAGAGAATAAGAAAAACAAACGAATTACTTTTATAAAAAAAGAAAGCTCTAAAATAACAAATCATCAAATGCAGAAGATTGCTTAGTTTGCTGTTGCTGTTGCTGTTGTGGTTGTTGTGGTTGTTGTTGCTGAACATTGAAGGAATTTGCTACACCCCAGTTATCCCAGTTTGCACTAGATGATGAGTTTCTTAATGCGTTCATAGAAGGACCTGTCGAGGGCTTTGCAGGTTCTGACTTTTTGCCCAATGAGTCCAAGCTCACAAAAGAGGAGGCCTGTGACCAAATGCCACCGATGGATGATGTGTTACTTTCTGTTTCAGAGGCTTTTCCGGTATTCTTTATCTGCGTGGTTTGTTGAATAGGAGACAAGGTGTTTGATGGAATTGTACGGTTTGCTGCAAGAGTATCATAGGACATGGCTTGTGACAGCATCAAACCTGAGCTATGCTGCTGAGGTGCAGGTGAGGCGGTAAAGCTATCATCACCTAATAAGTCAAAGATATCATTGGTTTTCTTTGAAGCTGCGGTGGTGTTGGAAGTGGTAGCAGTGGCCGTAGAGGCATGACCATGAACTGTAGCAGTGGTTGATGGTGGAGCAGGGGCACTTTGGAAGTCATCAAAATCATCTTTAACAAGAAAAAGGTAAGTCAGCCATAAAAACATTCCCCTTTTTTAATACTTTACCATCAGCTCCGTTACCAGCAGCAAAATCACCCCAGTCATCATCATTCGTAGCTTGTTTATGAGCCATAGTAGGTTCATCAAAATCAAACAGATCCTTTGCGGTTACTTTTGTCTTCGACTGTGATGCTTCAGCTCTCGAGCTAGATGCAGATGAAGGTGTTGTAGCTGTTGTTGCCCGCGTAGGTGGAGGTGATGATGGCTCATCATATTTCTTAGTTATATCAGAATCATAAAAGTCGTTCTGAGCACTATCTGAGCCAAAGCCTTCAAATCGAGGGTTGCTGCTGTAACTTCCACCACTGTAACCTCCCGAAGAGGCAAACATCATTCCACCATCAGAACCAACTCCAGTATACTTACTTCTGTTCTTCTTTGCCTTTTTACGTTCTTCTTTAATAGCATCTGTATTGTTTAACAATTCAACCAATTCTTTGGCTCGATTACGCACTTTATCAAAGATATTAGAGCATGATATCCCAACTATAGTTTAAAACTTACCATTTATGCCTTGATCTTTTCCTTTCTCATCAACGTAATGGAAGTTTTTCATCATTTTTATCATTGATATATGAGATCTAGCGTCATCTACAACACGTTCTGAACCATTTTTAACTAAATACTCGAGTAATACAAGAGACTGGAAGTGTGATGGTTAGCGTTGATAACTCTTTTTTTTTAAAAAAAAAAAGTGTACCTTATAAATCTGTCTCCAATATCTAGCCTCCTTTTCTGTGAATCGCTTATAGATTGTGGGCATAATTTCATTAAAGTATTGACTATGCTTAAATAAGTATGCAACTATGAATAGGTTTAATAATATTTACTAATTGTAGGTGCCTTGAGCAATTTCCTGCATTAAAGTACTTGAAGCACCCCAAGCTTCGTTATTTGTCGCTTCATGGACTTTAGCTTCCATCTCGGTATAGTTAAGGACGACATTTTTACTGAGAGAGAATAATTCAGTTATTTTGCTGTTTATCTATTTTATTACATTTACACTTTATTGATGACTTCCTATAAGTGTAACTTGTTTAATATTATATTATCTTATTAACCAAAGACTGATACATACGCGCACTTCCCATAAGTCAGGGATGCTCAAATTCAAATTCGAAAAGGAATTCATATTTACTTTATTGAAAAGAAAAACTACTTAGGGATAAAGGAGAACTCTAAATACCCAAAAAAGTATCGGAGACCTATTCTCTACACCGAGAGAAAGTCCGACATCAACTTTCCAAATTGTATCGAGCCATGAAATAATTTGTTTATAGCATCCTCTTCATTTTTCTTGAGAACGAAGGGTGGTCGTTGTTTGTAATCATCTTGTATAATCCAGTTTTCAGAACATTCACTGTTGCATTAATGTCTGCTTTCTTCGCTTGAAGAGGTTCTTGATCTTTTACCAAAGAAATGGCTGTAAACAGATGATAAGTGACGATATGAAAGGAATTCATATTCCCTTCGTTCTTTTACTGGCCTAGCTTGCTGCAATAATAAATCCTTTTTTAATGTTGGCTTAGAGACGCTTAGGATATGATTAATTTCTTCTCGCTGTGCTTCTTTGGGTATTATTTGATTAATGTTTAATTTATTTCCCCCACTAGACTAGAATAAGAACATATCAGCATTGGCCCGCCTTTGCTAAAGCTCTAATAGTGTTACCTCTGTAAATAATTTTCCACTATGAGTTCTATAATGATAGCGACATCTAGTAAGATGTCAGATGCAATCTTCTGTCCTTTTCTTAAAGTATTTAATATAATTTCGTTATCATTGAGAATAGTCTGAAGAGGCGTGGTGGCCACTTTTATGCATTTTGCTTGTTGTTGTTGTTGTTCTGTGTTTATTTCCTTCTTTTGCGCTTGAAGCTTTTGATCGACGAAAAGCTGAGTATACATTCTTTTCTTATTTCCCTTTACACATTGACGACATGGCAATATCACGGGAATGTATAGCTTTGTGCAAACATCAGATAATTACAAGCGAGTAAGGATTGTACTGGGACTTGTATCTTCTGGAAAAAAAGGCATAGTTTTTTATCCAATCCAGTATTTCTGTTTCGTTACCTTATGACAAATGGGTGTTGTTGCCATATGGTTGATAGTGTATTCAGGAGAAACCAAAGGGCCATCGTCAATAGGAACGGCAGCATATTGAGTAGA